AAAAGACCAAGTTGCCCAAACGAGGTCAACGCACTTCTAGAAAATTTAACACGTTTTCACCGAAATCGAAGGGTGTTGCTTCGGAAACAGCGTCAACTAGAATGCTCAAATTAAATAAATCGACAGCCGGTCAACGGGAATCCGTCGTCTTTTAGTGAGATCCGCACCACAGTCTACTCAAATCAGTTATGAATAATCTCTAAGTTGGGATGGTGGCTAAGATAAATATAGATTCTATTTTGGTTAATCCTTGCACTAATTCTTGCTCTTTTATTCTTTAAAAAAATCATAGTGTACAATACTTAATTTTAATAATGGGGCAGAAGCTAATTCGTATTTTGAATGCTGTATTGCTCGACACCAAAAAATTTTAATTTACAAAAGGTAATGCAAATCTTTTACTTTCCGAATTTTTTCCGGCAACTCTTCTCTGCTCTATTCATCTCTTTTTTTCCAATCACCCTACCTTTTCTTATGCCTTTTTTTGCTTCAGCGTGACCTTTTTTAACGAACTCTTTCGTCGCTACCTGCAGTACGTGGCTGTTGGCTCAATCAGTCTGGGCTTGACAAACTCCTTTTTCGCTTTTTCTTCAAATGGCTGCTCTAAGCAAATCCATAAGCCTGCTACTTCTGGGGGCACTGGAGGTGGTCTTGTGATGTGGCGCGATCGTCATGCCGACGAGCAGCGTCTTGGCTTGCGTTGTCTCTGTCTGCATGCTATGTCAATTGTTTATGCGCGCTGCTTTTCTGAAATATCCTCTGTATCCGATATTCCATTGCTTGTTCATCTACTGGATCGGACGCAGTCAGCCGCCGAGCGTGACAGCCTTCTTCTTCTTTTGGATCGGCTTATGATGGATAGAGTGAGTTCTCTGAGGTATCTTAGCCAGTTTGCCTCATTCTTCTGATTGAACTACTGTTTAATTATTTTTTTCCAATAAAGCTTTATACAATGCGATGTACTAATGTGTACTTATCATTTTTATCTATATTTTGCACTTAGAGACCATTGCTCAAAGTGTTTCAATTGCCCTCTCAAAATCATGCCTCAGTAATCTGCTTTTAATCCTCTTTAAAAATTCCTTTACTCTTCAAGAGGTGAGCTAAACTCGTAATTTTATAGTAATTATCGTCTCCTCTGCTTCATGGACCTTACTTTCTAATACAGTTAAAATCACTAACAGCCTCGTTTATGGTATCAATTAGAATTTTAAAGAAAGCGTTATTATTACGAGTCTTTTATTTTGCTTTCTGATGAAATAAATATATATTTATTAAGTTTTTGGCTAGGTTTTACCTTAAATTTTGCAAACTCCCTAATTAAGCGTTGCAGAGCTTCTACTGCTTGGTATACTAATCAAACTACTTTAATGAATCTCGGACTTTGTTATATATTAATTATTCATTTTTTCGACTCATTATTGCTTATCGTCAGTGTTTGGTAAAAATGTATTGTCTGTCTAGATCACGTTTCATAGAAAACCAATAATTAGTTTGCTTTGAACCTAATAAAATATCATTGCTGAACTAACTTTTTCTGGG